TGCCTTGTTTTTATATTTTCGTTAAACAAGGCTCTTAAAAAAAAAAACAAAAATGTGAAATACTTATTTCCAGAATGTCACTTTAAGGCCCAAAGGGATTTTTTTTAAATAGCTTATTTTTCCAAAAATGTTCAAATGGCATATATGGGAAATTGTAGACAGATTAAACAAAACACCGGCGTCCCAAGAAAAACCATGACATAAAACTGTGGAAAATGTCATGAAGAAGGTGGAAAAAACTTCAACATTAGCTTATGTGATAGACGAGATTGAAAATGATATGCAAGTGTTTAAAAAGCATGCATTTAATGTTAAAAATCAGTACAATGCTTATCGGTTAGTATACTTTTTTCTAACAGTTTCCAAACTTATTTAATCCTTAACTTACTTTTAAGAAATTGACATTCTGGAAAATATTGTGGCGAATACTGCAGCAACGCGAAGCGAACAACAAGAAAATTGCAGAATGTTCGAGGAATGACGTTGAATATTCGACAGCTAGAAACGTCAAGGGGATGAATACCGCGAACAGCGAAAGAATGAGAGGAAGTGCGATACACGGGAGAACGTTCTAGAGTTGCCATGAGCGAGAGCGCTGGTATATAAGGCCGCTTCTGCAGCAAGTCAGTCAGTTGCGAATCAGCAAGCTACAAGCAAGTTGTGAAACAGAGATAAATTGGTTAGCAAGTTTTGTAAAGCATTATAATTGCTTTAACGAGTATTGTAAAGTGTTGTTATTGCATTAGCGAGTATTGTAAATTGTTTGTTGTACAGTAGGGTGGGTCAAAAAAATCAAGTATTTTTTTTTGGATCCGACACACGAAAACTAGTTCCTATGTACCTCTAGAAAGTACTTACCAAATCTGAGCTCTTAATATTAACGGGAATATTATGCTCATCATAGTTTTCCATTTTCAATTTAGTCTCATATAAAAATGGTCATATCTTATCACCAATATATCGTTAAACCGTCAATATTTATAGTAAATTGAATGCTCTACAAAAATGGTTCATATACTATTTTCATTAATCTAACCATTTAAAAGATATTCAAAGTCAAAATTGAAGTATTTTAAGGAAAATAACTTTTTGTTTTGAATTTTGTAACTTACTAAAAAATAATTATTGTCAAATGAGTTTCAATTACTTCTATACGGAATTAAATGCTCTACAAAAAAGGTCTCATGTAGTTAATCGATTACTCGAACCATTTAGAAGATATTCACAGTAGAACTCCAATGCCTACTGATTTTAATAGCTTTTTAATAAATATTTTCAATTTATCCATTCAATTTATGAATTTTGAAAATATTCATGAGAATTTGAGTTTATCGATTTTTATCAATTCAATTTCCAATCGAAGTATCGATAACTGGACATTGAACAACTGGCCCTAAATGTTATGCTCTAATACTGTAGGGAGTGTAGTAATGCCACCTTATATGTACACATATACAGTAGAATCTCGAAATAGTTATCCGAAATGTCCCAACCGTAATTAACTCTTTCGAACTATCAACTTTTCTAAGCAGTTTCCAAAATCAAAAGAAATAATAATAATGAGCATAGAATTTTTGGAAAATAACACGCTAAATTTATTTCAATGACATATAAGCCATCTCCACCAAGCCTTAACTGCAGTTTATGCCTATTGGAAAAACGAGATTATCACATGAACGGGATAATTGCTCATATTTTGTACAAGCAAACGAAAGTAGAGAAGCAAAAAGTAAGAAATAGGCATTGCCAATCACCCCATTTTAAAATATTTCATACTTATCTGAACCCTTAACTGCGGTTAATCATTTGGTGGAAATGGGCTATTAGATTTCATCTTTACGAAAGAGAAACTTAGATTTACAGCCGTATTTTAGCAAAATCACAAACCTTAACCTTTTTATATTGTTCTTTTGAAGTTAGTTCTTTTTTAGCTTTATCTTATTTAAGTTTTAGTGCGTGTATTAATCAATTCTTTAGTGAAGAATGTAAAAACCTTATGAGAAAATAAAGAGCAAACAAACAACAACAACTAACACTTACTCAGACAGTAGTTGAATGAATTCATCCACTTGGTCGGACACTCCAGCCTTTATATTATATTTAGTTGAGCGAACGTAACTACAAACTGCACGTTGCGTACAACTTGTTGAGTCGACGTTGTTTTGGGCAAGTATATGATCAATTCTTTTCACTATATTTGAAATTGATGAAATATCGTTATCATTTTCACTTCTACCATAGCCAGCATATCCTCCATGAAAAGCATTTAATAGCTTTGGAATTATTATAATTGCTCCAATACCAACCAATGTGCCAAGCACAACTCCTCCAAGATCCAGTTTGATGGGATTATAAGCAGATATACCCGTTCCTCCAGGATAACCCTTGGAATTAATGAAAATGTTATATATTTAGTACATTTTTAGGAGCGTGCCGCTATCAATGAAAATATGCATATATTTACTAAATAATATAAACAATTTGTAGATAAATTTTTACGTAAAAAAATTTAGAGAGAGCGGGACCGATTTTCATGGAATTCTTTTAAATAAAAACGAACTGTTGTACATACATATGTATAAGTATATACTCAGCTCGACCAATGTATTACATGGCGATTACATATTAAATCGTGCACACAGCTTGATTTCAATTTGACAGAAATGGTCTTAAAATTTTTTTCTTTCTTCTTAAAAATTATGGGTGTCGCAAATGTCGATAAAAGTTGGGTCAACAAAATTCGGTATAAGCTCACTATTTCTTGCTTTAAGTACAAAAACAGAGCATCATTGGAAAAATAAAGAACCATCTTTAAAATTTTTCCATACAAAACGTCTTTTGATATGACGGCGATATTAAAATTATAAAATTACGATCCATAGAATAAACAATTTCCATTCCAATAAAATTTTCTTCGAGCAAGATTCCCAAAGGGTTTAGAAGTTTTGAATTTTCAAAGTTGCTTCAAAGAGAGAAAACACAAAAATGTGCTCCGGTCGAATTCAAATGCAGATGAACTACGCAAGGAAAATAAAATTCTTAATAGGCCTGATAAAGCAGTTTTGCACTAGGTCGGTTTTAGCTTACCTTTGATAATATATGTATTTTTTCTTAACAATAAAATTTCGTGACCTAAATTTCAAAACTTTGGGCGGAAGGCAAGGGGAGAAAATATGTTTTCAAAAAAGGCATGAATAATAGTGGTAAATGTCTATTACAGCACCTTTCTTAAAAACAAATGTATTCGAATTTTACAGGTGGGCTATGTAACACGAGATACACCCCTTTGGATTCACATTGAAAGAGACATACGTACACCTGTACCTAAAATTTTTTGGTTCCACTAAAATTTTAATCACATTGATCAGAATTAATAAATGTTTGTTCTTTCCTTTTTTCTAAGAATAATTAGCCGACTTCCAAAAAAGTAGGAGGTTATCAAATCGTCAGAATATATATGGGGTATTCTTTCTGAATCTCGTATTCAAAAAGAACGGAAAATTCTACGTTCATATAACATACATATCATATGGGGTGCATTTTACCGTCAATAGTTTTCCCACCAAATTTAATACTCGTAGTTGGGTTAATTTGTTGAAAAAAATGTTGACGAGAAAGATTGACGCTGACGGTGAAATGAAACCCACATATGATATGTTATCTGAACGTACAATTTTGCATTTTTTCTGAATTTGAGATAAAAAAGGGGGTTAGCAGTTAAAAAAACCATGTTTACCTCGAGACGAACTTGAAAATGACCCTCACTCCATTTTGCCACTCGGCATTGGAAAGCTTATGTTTTTTCATGAATTTTACATTTGTATTTTTAAAAAAGTTTTAAGTTAAAAGAAATATCGGCAGAAAGAATACCCCATATACTTTTTTATGTATTTTACCGCATAACTTTGGACCAAGTTAACCTCATTTCGATAATTGTTTTTTGAACGAAGAGGTGGCACCTCAGGGGGGTCACATACTAATTTGGTTTAGAACCCATCACTGGATCATGAAGAAATTAACAGTACTCTTATATTTTTATATGAGAATTGAAGTTGGTTTTGTTTTTTGCTTAAAAATTACTTGTTTTAAATCTTCAGTTCCAAAACGGCAAGTATATACAAACATCGATATTATATCGTCGCTCCCTACGAAGAGTAGCACATCTCAAATTACCGTGGAACAGTTCCACGTCCAGTTTATATCTCAATGAAATAGAAAAAAATTTCCAAAAATATTCCTATTAGGCATAACCCCATACCAGAAATCGCTAAGCCAATGCCTGCGCCAATGACTTTTCTTTTTATGCACAAATGCTGAAAAGTACACCTCCGACACAACCTCTTTTTGGTCAGAATAGTGGTAACCTAGAAGCTACTATAAATAGCGTTCTGAAAGTTATGCAGCAAGTGATGGCAATGCAGAGAATGGTACAAGATTTAATTGAAAATCAAAATCTATTACTTCAAGCCCTTTTAGCTAAACCATGAATAATCTTAAAATTTGTTTTTGGAATGCGAACGAGCTAACCCAGAATAAAATCGAACTAGAAGCTTTCCTAGTGCGCTGTCATATAGACGTTTTGCTTGTATCTAAAATACACATTGATGACCACTTGGGTGGCCTTACGGTATCTGCTATATAACGCCCCTCATCATAACATAACAGAAAAACAATTAAATGACTTTTTCCTAAAGTTTGGCAGTAAGTTTATAGTAGCAGCAGATTACAATGCCAACCATACATACTGGGGGTCTGGATTGATTACACCAGAGGGTAGAAATCTATATTAAGTAATCCAGAACAGAGGATTTGATGTCTATGTATTGACCATCTGATCTCAAAAAGTTCCCGATCTTATTGACTTTGGTGTAACAAAGGGTATTGCGCGAAACCAAGTTAATCGAGTACATGGCGGTATCGGAACAACACTACATATAAAACTAGGTTTCAATCTTTGTGCAAAATTTAAAACGAAATCAACAAACTCTCGTAAAAAAAAAATTTTGGTTGTGTGTGTGTTTGCAAACAAATAAAAAAACTGAGAAAATACCTTTCATATGGTACCTCATAAGTATAAATCGGTATAGTTTGAACCAGTTATTCAGTTTTTTCCTAAACCAATCTATGAAACAAGTTAAAAAACATGATTCCATAAAAAAAAAATGTGTAACATGTTTATGCAGATATTTTAGCCTTAAGCTGTTTTGTCATCTGAGGGTATTTTTTTCATAAAATTCTGTATAAAAAAAAATTTTTATTCATAAAAAACTAAATTTTGTAAGGTATTTTCAAATCGACCCAGCTCACGTAAACCTTAATATTTTTGCAAACAATTTTGGATGAAGTTTTCAAATACACAAGATTTTATGATTCCGGTGGAAAACCCCCTTTTTTTGGTGATGCAGTCTAATGTACATAGAAAAATTACAGATATTTTATAAAAATCCGCAAATATTTACGTCTCTGACATGCCTTCATCATTTGAAGTTTTCTGAGGTGAATCAATGTACTTCGCCCTTTGCTTAATAACGAATTTGCAAACAAACCACAAATCGACGGCTTTGCGATAACTTTCATGTATAAATGATTTAATTTTATTGAAGTTCGTTTAAATTATTGCAATTTTAATTGGAGAATAAAAGTAAAATATAGAAAAGTTAAATAAATATACATATTCTTCTTCTTCTTTTTTGGCGCTGTAACCGCCTAAGCGATTTTGGCCGAGTTCAGCAAAGCATGCCAGTCGTTTCCCTTCTGTGCCAACTGACGCCAATTGGAAACGCCATGTGAAGCCAAGTCTTTCTCCACCTCATCTTTCCATCGCAGTGCGGGCCTCCCTCTTCCTCTGCTACCACCAGTGGGTTCCGAGTTGAATACTTTCAGAGCTGGAGCGTCGATGTCCATTCGAACGACATGGCCAAGCCAGCGGAGCCGCTGTATTTTGATTCGCTGTACTATGTCCATCTCGCTGTAAAACTCATACAGCTCATCGTTCCATCGTCTGCGGTACTCGCCGCCCCAACGCATAAAGGCCCGTAAATCTTCCGGAAAATCTTTCCCTCGAACACTCCAAGAGCCGCCTCATCGGATGTTGTCATTGTCCATGCTTCTGCGCCATATACCAGCACGGGCATGATGAGTGACTTATTGAGCGCGATTTTCGTACGTCGAAAGAGGTCTTTACTCCTGAATTGCCTACTCAGTCCAAAGTAGCACTTGTTGGCAAGAGTGATTCTACGTTGGATTTCAATACTGGCATTATTATCGGTGTTAATGCTGGTTCCCAAGTAAACGAAATTCTCTACTTTCTCGAAATTGTAACTGTCAACAATGACGTGTGTGCCAAGGCGCGAATGTGCTGACCGTTTGTTTGAAGACAGGAGATACTTCACCTTGTCCTCGTTTACCACCAGACCCATTCGCTTTGCTTCCTTATCCAACTTGGAAAATGCAGATAAAACTTCGCGGTTTTTAATACCGATGATATCGATGTCATCGGCATAAGCCAGCAATTGCACGCTCTTGTAGTAAGTTGTTCCTGAGCGGTTCAGTTCTGCAGCTCTTATTATCTTCTCCAACATCAGATTAAAGAAGTCACATGAAAGGGAGTCGCCCTGTCTGAAACCCCGTTTTGTGGCGAACGGCTCGGAGAAGTCTTTCCCAATTCTGACGGAGCTGGTGGTATTGCTCAACGTCATTTTACACAGCCATATGAGTTTTGAGGGGATGCCAAATTCAGACATAGCGGAGAATAGGCAACGCCTTTTAGTGCTGTCAAAAGCGGTTTTAAAGTCGACAAATAGGTGGTGAATGTAGACCCCTTTCTCGCGGGTCTTTTCCAAGATTTGGCGTATTGTGAATACCTGGTCTATGGTGCATTTTCCAGGTCTAAACCACACTGATAAGGCCTAATCAGTTCATTGAATGTGGGCTTCAGTCTTTCACACAATAAGCTCCATAAGACCTTGTAACCTATGCTTAGAAGGCTGATCCCGCGGTAGTTGGCGAGAATGGCGGGGTCACCTTTCTTGTGGATTGGGCAGAGCACACTTAAATTCGAGTCGTCGGGCATGCGTTCATCTGACCATATTCTGCATACGAGCTGATGCATGCACCTCATCTCCTCCTCGCCGCCGTACTTGAGTAGCTCGGTTGGCTGGCCGTCAGCTCCAGCAGCTTTGTTGTTTTTCAGCCGCGTATTCGCTATTCGTACCTCGTCATAGGCAGGCGGTGGGACAGCTACTCCATCATCCCCGACTGGGGTAGGTTGTAAAAGTGTTCCCTCCACAATTTAAGCATATTCTGGACTTCGGTTACTAGGGCGCCATTGTTGTTCTTACAGGAGTACGCTCTGGTCTTGAAACCTGCCGTAAGTCGCCTAACT